ATTTTAAAGTATATTTGAGATATTTAAATTAAAATGCGAGCCTATTAAAAAATTTATTTTTAAATAGGCTTTTAAATAAACTTTCAAGTTAGATTAAGCTTTAGACAGACTCAAGCTTAAGCTGTGAAAAATGCCTTATACAGACTTCAGATCAGACTCAAACTTTTAATTTATCATGCAAATTTAGACTTATTTAATCAAAATATAACTCGGCCTAATTTATTTCAACTTTTACCTAAGGTCCCTTCTTTGCTATCAAGTTCGCAAACATCATGGAATTGTCTGATCTCTCTTACAAGAGGCGTGTGCATTTGGTGCTCTTTCTTATCTTAATTCTAGTCCTCTATTTCATTTTAAAATAATTTTTATCATTGTTTAAATTAATTTTAAATATTTTTAATATTACATTTATTAATTAAAAATATAAAAATTTTAATATTAAATTTGAACTATCTAGAAACACATGTAAATGATTAATTTATAATTTTTTAGTATTAAATTAGATTATTTAAATTATATCTGAACTAAGTCAATCTAGACAATCAAATTATAAAAATTTTTAATATTAAATTGAATTTTTTAGATTAAATTTATATTAGCCAGATTGATAATGAATAGATTTATTAAATTTTTTATATTTTATAAATTTTATTTTACTAAATATAAAATAAAAATAAAAATTTTTAAATTTAAATGATCTAAATCTCTTCAAAAGTGATGGGTATCATGGTGCTCATTTTCTAATAAATAGTCATGACAGCCTAGATAAAATATTAAAAAAATTATATTTTTTAAATTAATAAATATAATATTAAAATATTTAAAAATTAAATGAAATGAATGACACATATTTTAAAATAAAATGAAGAGTCAGGATTACTCTCAGTCTTAATGAGCATTTAGCACACTCAATGAAAACAACGTGTTTTGAATTTTAAAAATAATTAACTAATTTATTAAAATATAAATTCATTAAAAATGTATAATTTTAAAGATAATGAATTAATTTATTATGAATATAATTGCGCTAAAATTTCTGGCAAAAAATATTGTCATAATATTGAATAATTACATATACCTATAAAATTGGCACGTGTGAGATACACCCACACCCACACACACACACACACACACACACACACATATAATATATGCGTGCGCGCGCACTAAGCAGAGCTGCTGCCGATTCCATTCTGTTATCGACTTATCGTCCTTCACTCTCACTCTGCGTTGCTTTTCCTCCACGGCGAATCAACTCGTGACGTATTCGCAGAACAATTCTCTCTCCTCCGGTAAGGGTCTTCGTTTTGACGTTTTTTAAGAGATTTTGTTCCTGTCAAGATTTTGTTTCTCCGGAATTTGCGTGGTTCCGATTTGAATTATATTGATTTTGCAACGTTTTGAGCGTGACTATTTGCTTAGAAATTTTTCATTAGGCTCTATTCGGGTTTTTTTTTTTTTGGAACGAGGTTGGAGAATTGTAGCGTTCGGGATTTTCTGGCCCTAGAATGAAGAATCGCTGAAGATGGTGACTGGTTTTGGTTGGGGTCACGTTTTGCAGGTCTTGACTATTTATTGAGGGAATCACATGTGTTAGCGAAGTTATTGATTTTTTTTTATAAGCTACTTGATTTTGTTTCTTTTCAAGAGAAGTGTGTTCACGCACACAAATGTGGATAGATAGACATTTTAGCTTAACTTCGGAGCAGAAGTCATAAACTTTAAATGGTTTTGAAAAAAATTGTTTTAGATTATCATATAAAAAAATGAAGGTTTGGATCAACCATCGACCTAATCATAAATGAAGTTGATACAAACTAGAGTTCTATATATTTTTCGTGTGAAGTATGTAAACTTATTGGGAGTCTTATTTTCCTACTCCTTGCTTGAAGTTGACAGGGTTTTATCATGTTTTGAGTAGGTTTCATCATCTACTTACTTATGTGGATTGTGTGGGATGGCTGTCCCTGGCTTTCTAATTGAAAATTTTATGTGGTAATTATTTTTCTCCTTCAAAATACGCAGTTTAAAATGGCTGAAGTAGAAGAGTATCGCTGCTTCATTGGTGGCCTTTCATGGTCAACATCTGATAGAAAGTTAATGGATTCATTTGAAAAGTTTGGAAACCTTCTTGAAGCCCGGGTAACATATTCTATATTTCTGTATTATCAGTATTATCATTGCACTTGTACTGTTTACAGTTATTGTTGATTAGCCAAGAACCTTTGGTTCAACTGGCACGACTTGTGATGTTTACCCTGTGGGTTCGAGCTGTGCCTACAAATGTTTCGACATTTGCCAACTCAAAAGAAAGTTATTGTTGATTTTTTTTTCCCCTTAGAAATTCGTTTATGCTGCCTATGTTATACTTTTTGATTGGGTTTCCAGTTTCTCTTCTATCCTTTTCTGATATAGTGAGATAAATGTAAATTCTACTAAGTCCTGGCTTCAAATCAAAATTCAGTAAACCAGAAGAAAAGCTTTTTGACATATTATAAGTGGAAGCTAGCTTTTCAAGCATCATATATGATTGGTTGTACCTGTTCATTGTCTATTTATATGCATCTTTCTTTTGAACAGACATATATTCTTAAGGCATTACATTTATATCCTCGATCTAGGTTGCTGTTGACAAGTTCTCTGGTCGATCTCGTGGTTTTGGATTTGTAACATTTGATGATCAGAAAGCTATGGAAGATGCCATTGATGCCATGAATGGGCAGAATTTAGATGGTCGAACTATTACTGTTGACAAGGCAAAACCTCAACAAGGATCAGCTAGAGATGATAGTGATCGGTACCGAGAACATGGTCGTGATCGTAATCATTACCGAGATTATGGGGGTGGTCGAGGTTCTAATGGTGGTGAGTGCTTCAAGTGTGGCAAACCTGGTCATTTCGCTAGAGAGTGCCCTGGTGAAGGGGGAAGAGGTGGAAAGTATGGTGGCAGAGAAAGTAGATATGGTGGCAGTGGCGGTGGAGGTCGTTATGGTCCTGATAGGAATGCTGATCGTTATTCTGGTGGGCGATACAGGGATGCTGGTAGACATGGAGATTATGGAAATGATCGATATAGTCGTGATCGCACTGGACCTTATGAGCAGAGAGGAACAGGAGGCTTTCGTTCTGGATAGAATTTTTTTTCTTCTCATTGAGGCATGCAATTTCACTCTTAATATATGTTGTTCATCATGGCTGTAATGGAACTGTAAATGTGATTTTTCATCTTTTAGACTGGAGGAGTTACCATTATCCCTTCAATTATCATTCACAATGACTATGTTCTGAGATTGTTCAATGGATGGATCTCTGATATCAATGTTCTGATGTGCAATACACTGCACATACACCATACCCTTTTTATGTTCCAAAATGCTGATTTTTAAGCTTGTTGAAATCTTGTGCATGACCTGTTGTGGTCAAATTCCATTATGCTCTATGGGCTGAGTATCTTGTGAGTTGTGACATGCATGGGAGAGCATATACATAGTTACCACTGAATTACCAGTTTCATCCTAGGAGGTATAGAAAGAGTTTGTGTTCGTATGGGTTTTTAAATGACCATAGTGAAGTTTTTGTCTTTGGATTTTGCTTCTGATTTGGAGAGAAAAGTCTTTCATATAGAATACCCATTTGGTGTCTTGTTTTAGGATGTTTGAGTAACAAGTAGCACAACTACTTTCTCATTTGTTACATTTCAGCTCTGGTTTGTATTCTTGGAAGATTCTTGGCTAATAACCATTGTCTTTTTTGGATTCCTTTTATTGTTCCTCTGTTGCTGACAGAAGAATGGACATGCATGGTCCTTTAAGCTTCAAACTCTTCAGCTGCAACAAGTCACCACCTGAATAGGAAACTTGAAAATTTTAACAGAAATTGTAAGGATGCTTTTGGTATATAAATTTTATGTTGAGTAGGGCAAACTTGGTTCGTCAGAACAACAGATTGCAACAAGGTGCTGCAAAAGTGGGGGATGGATGGAAAATGATGAGATGGTAAATGATATGGGATTTCACTGTTAGTAAAACCCAGGTGGGGGTGGGTAGAGAATATGCTTTTATTCAGGCCTCCTTTATGATGGTGCTTTCATAAAATCTTTTTAAAATAGGGCTAATACGACAAGAAATGTTAGATTCTTTGCAATGAGGGAACTCAGGAATATTCTCTCTTGGATATGGCAAAAAATTTGGAACTTAACTAAATCCATGCATTATATAGGAAAACAACTTCCAGTTAGCTATATAACAACTTAATCGGTGCCTAGAGGTTTTCAAAAAATTTTGATTTTTGATTGTTTATACTTTTCCTCTCATTGAAAGCAATTCTATTCAAGATACAATCACTCACTAAATGTAAGTACATCTCTTAGTAGAGATTTGAATATTGTTTCGTTACGTTGCAAAGGACTAATCCCTTACATTTGACCCAACCCTCATTGGTACAATAATAATAAGCATTATTTCATTAGGTAGGTTCGGCTGTATAAATTGTATGACACCATTATACTTTATCATTTACCAAACTTTTAGAAATATTAACTAAGAGGTATCAGTCAATAATTTTCAAAAGTGTTTTTTTTTTAACCTTCCTCTACCCTTCTTAATGAAGTTTAAAGTTATTTGTTCCACTTTATTCACAAGTGCCTCCCACGATCTTCTTTATATATGTCCAAACTATCTTTAAATAATTTTTTACCATTGTCCCCTCAATAAATTATATAACAATGCTTAGAGGGAAATGCTTAGAGGGAACTAATTCCTCTGCTTATCTCATTCAATCCAACAACCCCTACATTATCTGGGAGGATCAGTAAAGGGAAAAAGAAAAAAGAAAAAGAAACAAACAAAGAAAGAAAAATTAAAATGATTTTCCGTACTATTTGTTGACCTAGCATGCAAGTTTGTGCATTCATTTGCTTCATGACAGACTTAATAATGTTCATAATAATCAAAGTCCGGTGAAGCCAATTAACTTGGTCAAGCCAAAAGTGATAGCCATGGCCATCCAACCTCCGATCACAACCCTAACACAAGACCCTCTCACTGAAGTTTTTCCGATCACCGCTCCGACGCCACCGAAAACCATCAATGCCAAGCTAGCCAGGGCAGCCACCACCGCCATCCTCACCCTATAATCCCTTATAAACACAGCTCCGACCAGCGGCACCACTGCACCGGCGGAAAATGCCAGCGCTGATGCTGCGGCAGCCTGAACTGGATTCGGAAGCTTGTCCTTCTCATCATCTTCAACCTCTTTTGTGTTGTTGTTAGCTGCTCTTTCTCTCTTCATCTGAGCTAACTCTATGTCTCTCTGAGTGTACACTGACACAAACTCCCCTATGGCCATGCTACAAGCTCCGGCGACTAGACCCGCGAAGCCGGCGAGGAGCATGGCTCTGATGTCTTGTCTGACAGCACCAACACCTATCATGAGTGAAGTCACAGTAACCAGCCCATCATTGGCTCCTAACATTGCAGCCCTAAGCCATTGTGCCCTTTGAGAGTAGTTAATGGTGTTGATGTGGTCTTCTTCTTCATTAGGGTTAATTACAGGGATCTCAACATGGCTTGGTAGGGTTTCCTTAGGGTTATTATGATGAGAAGAAGCCATAGATATATGTTAATGGTGAAGATAGAATTGAAGAGAAGTTTCAAGGAAGGAAGTGTTTTTGAAGTACATGACTCTTATTGAGAAGAAGGTATTATATAGAGAAGTGTCATATAGCAATAGCATTGGGTTGCATTGGAGATTATGGGTCTCAATCATTTAGTGATGAAGTAGTGGTGATAGAGTGGAGAGCACTCAGAACGGTGATGACTTATTTTGTTTAATAATTCTTCAAAAATGAATACTTTGTATATACTGAGATATATATATATATATATATATATATATATATATATATCCTTATTTCATTATAATCATGAACTTATATCTTGTCAAAACTAGCTAGATTCAAATTAAACTCTAACTAATTTGATTTGAGCCAAGTAGAAACATGAGGAACCAAAGTTTTTCAATAAACATTTAAGGCAGTTGCATTCCTAAGCACTAATTACAAATTAGGAAGAATAACAATTAAGTCCTAGAAGTGACAATTAATGATAATTACATCTTTGATAAATTTATTTGAAATATAAATAGCAAATATCAATTCAAATAATTATTATTTTAGGAGTTGCAATTATAAATAAGATATTTAAATTTTAAATGTAATTCTCAGTTTATAATTACAATTTTTGTTTATAACTGTATAAATCAATATTTATAATGTATTCTTTAAAAAAGGTTATTGATGATCTAACTGTTATTAATTGCCTCTTCAATTTTGAGAGTTTATTCTCGTTCTTCCATTAAACTATTAGCTCCATATACCACTAGTTAACTATGCATAGTAGTTTCATTGTGATTTTTTTTCCATCTAAATTATTCATAAATACTCTTTCAAAAATTTATACCGATAAATGAAAATTTGGATTATTTTTTTAATATATATATATATATATATATATAACATCCCCCTCTAGCATGAAAACTTATTAGACTTGAAGTATAGATAAACATAAATATGCCTAATAATAAAAAAAAATAATCATCATACATTTAAACCTTAGATGGAAAAAAAAAACAAATTAAACACAATGGCCACAGTTGAATAATACAATAACAACAAAAGCATAATACATATTATCTCAACGATTTGCGTCTGGTTTTCTACAATCCCTTAGCGTCCCTTTTCGTCATGGCACCAAACACAACCACATATTTAGCTCAAAAATTTAAGGTAATTGGTTTGATTTTGATTAATAATATGTCTAATAATAATATCCTAGAATGTGCTTATATAATTAGATCGATAAGAATCGGTCCTGTAATGTAATTGGATTTGGATTCCCTCGTTTGAGGAGATAAGAAGCAAAAGGGTATACATAATTAATCATATATAGAGAAATACAAAGTGTGGCAATTTTAAAATGAAGGGAGTGTGGCTTGCACAAGCAAGGTTAGTGGAAGCCTATCTGTTGATTAGCAGTATGATTAAACAACAAATTCATGATTAAGAAATTAATGATGAAATGATGAGTGATATAATTATATATTATCGGAGGGAGTGTGGATTCCACGCAGAAGGCACAAGCAAACGGGCAAACTAAACAATAAATTAAAAGAAGAGAATACTTTTTTTCCAATTCCTTGTTGACTCAGGAACATTTCCCAGAGTGGAAACATGAATTAGTGCTTCGTGGGTTTTCAATTAGTGGATTGGTGATCTGTTCAATTTTTTTTTATAATGCTGTTTAAAGTTACAATCCAATCTTCTTTGAGGTGGTTTTATTGTTGAATAGAAATGTAATATAATGAAATGATTTGATTAAAAAAGTAAAATGGATTAGAATAATTGTGGATTATAGAAAGGTAAAAATGATAAAGATATCATAGCCATACATAAAATAAGAGAGAAGGAAGAATGTGGATAAAAGACTTTATTCATGTCAATCACAATGTTATTTAATTTCTCTCTATCATTACATGACCTGTCCTCTCACTATCATTTACATTTTATTATTGTATATAGTCTTTTAAAAAAAATTTGTTAAAATTTTTAGTTTGCAATACACACACTTATATATACTCTTTTCAATTCAAATTGTAAGAGACTTCCGACGATAATTCACATACTAATAAAAATAATTACTCCCTCTAAACCAAAATATATAACATCGATGATTATTTTACGGCTTAAAAAAATTTGGTAAAACCTTGATCTTTTAAAAAAGCTTACATTTTTCCATCTTAATAATAATAATTGAAAAATGTTATGCATCATTTTTTTAAAAAAAGTAATAAATAAAGTATGGGTATAGTTGAAAATATAATTATAAAAACTTCTTAATTTGTGTTTTAAGGACCAATTTGATAATTGAAAAAAATTTAATAATGGTCCAAAAGCTTCGTTGTCCCTCTATAAATTTTAATTTTTTAATTAAAGATCGAAGTAAAAGAATAAATTAAGGAACCAACTTGTGCCTTTCTCGTGGTATCCGCGCTCCATAAAGTTTAGTTTCTTTCTAAATTATTTGACATTGTTTAATTAAAAAAATTTCATTATATTCTCTTGAATTTTCGCACTCCAAGAAAATGGAATGACAGAAAAATGCTTCAACATGCTTAATTATTTAAATAATATTTGATTAATTAAAATAATCTTACATGCTTAATTAATTATTTAATTTTTTGGCAAAGATAAATATTGAACTAGCTAAACATAATATTGAGAAACCAACGATGCATGATTAATTAGACCGAGTGGAAGAGATC